AAAATTGCAGTCATATGGGTGGAAACTGGGTAACTATTGCATTTCATTAATATCAGCAGAACTGACTTAGATGGGGCCTGCGTGTTGTGTAGTCCTGCCTTAATCTTTGTATTCATGCCTGTCAGTGTGAAAGAAGCTATTTGCATAAATATGCAACCACACGTAAGTTGCGGCGCTCGGCATGTGCTGGGAGTATCACTGCGGTCCCCGGGGCTTCCAAAGTTGAGTAGCCCTGATCTAGATCATATCCAACTGCAGCGCAGGCCCCAGTCTTTCTGTATCAGGCACCTTTCAAAGTCAGGTCCAGAAAAAGGTTGTGAGGGGCTTCCCATTTTTCAGTTTGGAGGCCATTTTCCCACCTGGAATCCATTTCAGAAAGCCACAATGAGCAGCAGGTCATCTTTAAAACAGATCCCAACGCCATATGCAAGTGATGCTTACACGGCAGGCAATCGATAGTAATACCCAGTACACAACATACCCATGGACACACCACATCAAAGTGAAGCTACCAAACCCTGTGCATGAAACCCCCAAATCCCAGTTGTGTGGGAGCTGTGATTTCACCAGTACAATAATGACTATTTTACATGTACATATAAATACTCACACCATAAGGAATTCTATTTCTTTAAAGCAGAGGTGAGGAACCTTTTTTGGATAGGGGCCCCTGACAAACAAACCAAACCAATCCTCACTGATGTGGCTCAACTGAGAATGAGAAAGACATTCCCCTTGCACGCCAGAACTTTGGGGGCCCAGGCTAGTAGATGTAGTAGTTCAGTTTTGTGCACTCCAGCCCCATGGAGGAATAGTGAAGGGGCTGGAGCACTAGCGTGGGGACCCCAACCCTGAGGGGGACCCCAAGCCTCGGAGGCTGGATCTAGGAAAGCCAGGGGCCACATCCGGCCCCCAGGCCTCAGGTTCCACACCCCTGCTTTAAAAGAATAGCAGTGATTAGTTCCAATTTCTTAGATCATTGAAGATCTACCAAAAATTCAGTGAAAAAGAAATTTTCAACACCACTGCTAAACATACCACTGTTTCTTTTTTCATAAATACCATTCACATTCCTCGCTTCTCTAAATGTTCTTACACCAAGCTCACCACCAGACTCTGAATGCCTCCCAGACGTGCTTTAAACCATATGATGAACATGTCACGTCTTGGGGCTAACTTCTCTTACTTGGAGACACCAGAAAGTATCAGTAAAAATGAGCGATAGTCTACAGCTCTTGCTTAAAACATGAAAATCCTATTTGAATGTGCCCAGTAAAGGGGAAACTCACTTAAAACAGAGTAAGTTTCTTATTTTGTCCCACGTTCAAGACAAAATTCCTTGTCTTTTTCTGGCTATCAACAGGGCAGCCTAGTAGATTTTTTATTTTTATTATATTTTTATATACTTTGTTTTTGTAAATCTATTAAATCAGAATATTTAATAGTACATAAACATTTTCCTTCAAAACTGTAAGTAAGCTTGGTGTTGGGTTCTTTCTCTCTCACTTACTTACATTTTCTGGGGCCAGGAGACACTGACTCAGAAGAAATACAGGCTGAACCTCTCTAAATCGGGACTTTGGTCTGGCAACATCACACCACAGATGTTCCAAGACCAGAGTTCCAATGAAGAGCTGGCAGCCTAAAGCCCTGTGGGCTGACAGTCGGGCTGCCCAATTGGGCCTGGAAGCACAGTGGGGCTGACAGGGTAACGATGCCAACGGCAAGGGGTGAGCAGGCTGGGAGGTCATCAGCCAGGTCAGGGCTGGGGGGCCAGAAATGACCTCCCCTGGTCCGGCACAATCCCTCATTGTCAGGGATGAGGGACGGGTCAGGTCACAAGGGTGCCGGACCAGAGAGGTCCAACTTGTAATTACTTTTCAGCTTGCATCAGATGTCTGTGGATAACTACAGTCTTGATTAAACTTCAGGAGAACGGGAGGAGGACAACTAAGACCAGAATAACTTTCATTTCAGTTTTACATTATTTTGGTGCCATTTATGATAAACGAAGGCTTTTTGCACAAGTTTCACTGCACCTCATCAAGATCCTTGGACTCTCTACCCAGTTCATCGTCGTCGTCATCCGAGTCGAGCTCTGGCCCGATATAATTCCCGAACTCGTCATACAAGTCTGTGTCCATGATGCTACCGTGAGAGAGAAAGCACGTGTAACGAGACTCCTTGGGGCAACGGTTTCCCGGCACCAGGGACGAAGCGGAGTCCTGCCCCCGACCCCCACCCTTGCCAGTTGAATTATTTATGAAACATCTGAGAACAGCCCAGTGCGCTTTCCCGGCACCAGGGACGAAGCGGAGTCCTGCCCCCGACCCCCACCCTTGCCAGTTGAATTATTTATGAAACATCTGAGAACAGCCCAGTGCGCCCCTACTCCCCCCCAGCCCCCCCAACACCCCGCCCACGTCACCTCCCTCCGAGCCCCCTCCTGAGCAATCAGTGCCCATCCCACAATGCACCGCGGCCACCCCATCCCCACGAGACCCCCTCTCCCA